TTTATTAGAGAGGGGGAGGTTTATTAGAGAGGGGGAGGTTTATTAGAGAGGGGGAGACTTATTAGAGAGGGGAAGATTTATTAGAAAGAGTGAGGCTTATTAGAGAGGAGGAGGCATATTAGAGAGAGGGAAGTTTATTAGAGAGGGAGAGGTTTATTAGAGAAAGGGAGGCTTATTAGACAGGGGGAAATTTATTAGAGAGAAGGAAGTTTATTAGAGAGGGAGAGGTTTATTAGAGAGAGGGAGGCTTATTAGAGAGGGGGAGGCTTATTAGAGAGGGGGAGGCTTATTAGAGAGGGGGAGGTTTATTAGAGAGGGGGGAGGTTTATTAGAAAGAGGGAGGCTTATTAGAGAGGGGGAGATTTATTAGAGAGAGGAAGCTTATTAGAGAGATGGAGGCTTATTAGAGAGATGGAGGCTTATTAGAGAGAGGGAAACATTTTAGAGAGATGGAAGCTTATTAGAGAGAGGGAGGCATATTAGAGAGAAAAAAGTTTATTAGAGAGGGAGAGGTTTATTAGAGAGAGGGAGGCTTATTAGAGAGAGGGAGGCATATTAGAGAGAGAGGGAAGTTTATTAGAGAGAGAGGGGGGGTTTATTAGAGAGAGGGAGGCTTATTAGAGAGAGGGAGGCTTATTAGAGAGTGGGAGGCTTATTAGAGAGGTTTTTGGTTACTCACATCAAAGTTATCTAGAGCTCCTGATAATGCTCCTGGTGCTTCAAGGGGACTGGGTTCACTCTTTCCAGTAGCCTGTGCGGCACCATAAATAGTCTGAAGAGCTTCACTCATCTGCTTCAGTACATAGTCTCTGTTCATCCGAGCTGAATGTACATCTGGGTGTTGAACATATACCTAGAGAGATAATTTATAAGAATAAAGGTCAGTGTTAGTAGATTAGCAAGTGGGGGTGTTCTGATCATCCATACTTGCAGCTGAGAGCTAAGCTGAATTGCAAAGGATGCAACTCAATTTGGTCAAGTTGAAGGCTTTCTACAGGTGCCTCTGGCAGTCACCTTTGTGACTCATGTTCAATGTACCTTTAATTATGAGATTCTCACTCACCTTTGATGAAGTAAGAAGCATTTTACTGGCATCTTTCAGCATTGCTCTTGCTGCAGCGATTTCCTCCTTTCTTCGAGGGTCTTTTAGATCCTAGAACACATTCCAGACTTAAATGTTTTACAATAAAGATCGGTGGCCTAGAGGCCCTAGAGGGATAATCGTGCCTGTGTCGCATATTCTGTCAATGATTTTGTAATGTTGCGGACACCAAGATTTGCAGTGTTTGACAACTTATAACCCAATTTTCATCCCAAAATGTTTGATGTCATGTATCCACTGTCAAAAAATAAAAAATATTACCAAAACGATAGAAATCCCGTCTTGTAAGATATAAATACAGCACAAACTTACTGCTTGTCTTGCACCTGATAACTTGGCCAAACTCATCAGATCCACACCAAGACTTTTGAAAGCTGCCAGCAATGCCTGTGGGTCTTTTACTTTCTCCAATTCAGCCAATTTTTCTTCAACCTTAGGAATAGTGAAATATCTCTAGGCATGAAGCATGATGAAATGCACATAGCCACATCTTTTCATCAAGGTCATGCGAGTGAAACTGAAGGTACATGTAGAGCCATGAGGTTCAAAGTTTAGGGGTAAAAATTAAAATATGTTACCTTTCGCCCAATCAGACAATCATATAACAGATAACCAATCAAATATAATTAAATGTTACTCACCAGTCTTAATGATGCGAGAAGACGATAAACATCCGCCATATCTGCAATACACAGCAATCTTGTAACAGCAGAGAGCAAAGCACGAGCAGATTTAATCATGTCGTTACGTTTCTCATTTGAATGAGGATCATTGGCAAATGTCTTTGAATCCAAGCACATCACTTCTCCTGTATTTCAGAATATCAAGAAATCCAAATAAATTTAAAAGCAAATCACTACAAAATCATTTTGGGGATCTTTTTCTGTTAACTCACAGATGTACTTAGTCTCAACAGACGATCTGTTTATGTGTATGAATACCACATTAATCATTGACAAATGATGATCTGTTTCTATTATAAATTGGGTCACCATAATTAGAGAAATACATCAAATGTTCTTTACCAGCTTTCTTCGTATCTTGACATGCCCTCAACATCTCATCGGCAATTTCTGGAAAATCTTTGGCGATGTCTTGACCCACTTGAATCAATCCATCGATGGCTGCCACAATTTCCCGCACAAGTTGGTGTGCAGTTTTACTCTTTCCTGCCTTGCGCAATGACTTATAGCGATTCACCAGAGTTGTGACCTGCAAATGAAAGTTGCAATCTTAAAACACAACTTTACGTCATTCGTTAAAAAAATTTGTTGTACATTATAACAAGATAAGAATAACTAAGTGAATGACATTTTGGGGGAAAGTGGTGTTAGAGTACATCACAACAACATTTGATGAACATGTTCTGTGAAATCATGGACCAAAAACTTTCAGCATAAAAGTTATGCAACATGCATTTACTTAACATGCCCACAAGTCTGTCAATTAAATTGATGATTTAAACTGCAAATGCTTCAGTTATTTACTTAAACTGTGCAATGGCTTACACAAATAGCTCTGGACATACATTTGTCATCAATTAACCATGCATATCATTAATTAATATAAATACAGTATAACAAAATGTTCAATTGCAATATTAAATACTGGTCAAAATCTAGGATGCATTTGAGATAGGCCTTTTAAGTCAATGTAGCCTAGGGGTATACATAGTACAACACTAAAACCAAAGTGCTTCTGATATAAAATTTGTATTAAATTAATCCATATTATGACAATTGGCATGAATAGGCAATTATGAAAATAATATTACACCTAATGAGTTTTCATAATACAAAATGAGGAGGTGCAACACAGCTATTAAATACAGCAAGGTTTTCATTTGGCATTCTCAAGATTCCTTCTATAAGTCCATATGCTTTCAGGAATAAAATACCATGGTAACATTATTGACTTTAAGTGTATTAATAGTCAAGTCTGTCTGTACAAAAGTACTATTAGTCACTCAGTTTGTGGTCAAAATTCCAGCATAAATTCAAACAAATTGCGTGGGAAACAAGGTGGGGAATTATCAAATAGTTTCACAAAATAAACTACTTTAGATCCTATCTCAACAAAGTCTAGTGCCTTGGTCAACTTTTTTTTTGCAAATAAGCCAATTCTAATGTTTACATAATTTTTCTTACACTGTTTTATAAATTCAAATAGTTTTCTGTTTAAGTTAATAATTATAGGGCATGTGAAATCTGGAAAATGCGTGCATTGAACCTAAAATGCAGTACTTTTTATCGGCTTTACATGTATCAATTATCGCGCATTTTACATACAAATCGTAAACATTTGGTAGTAGAATTGTAGCAAATTATTTTACGATAGTATTCAAAAGCTGTGTACATGTTATACTCGACCAAACTAAAACCACAACGCGTAGCAAAATAAAAACTAATCATAACAAACCACTTTATAGCAAACTTTAAATATCGGCAACTTCCTAAGACATAAACTTTGCGACATGTTTCAACAAAATTTCACAACTTACTTGCTGTACTAGTGGTTCTAGCGCCTTTTCAACAGAATGAGTGCGAATTTCGACCGTCCTCGGGTCCCATTTGACTTTGCTATGCTCTACTCTGTAATCGACACGAGCTGTACGTTGGCTGGCCATGTCGCCAACGAGATATCGGCGTTATTTCGCCCCAAAATTGGCTATATTTCAAAGTTTGTACCTTCGCTCGACTTTCTTGTTCGAAATAATTTATGTCTAGCAAAGCGTCTTCCAGAAAGTTAATTATTGCTGTTGTCACGTGACGAGCATTCCAGACGCCCACAAAATGTAAATAAATGATTACTAAGAAAATTATAAATTTATGAACATTTTCGAGAATGACATATATCGTTGGCATCTTAATTATATCAACAAAGCCTCTTTGAAATAAAATTCGTCGAATGAATATGAAATAAACCCAAATGTAGAATGAAAAGTTGAATGAAAACTCCAAATGTGGAATAAAAACCAGAATGTGGAATGAAAAGTTGAATGTGGAATAGAGCTGTGCGGTTAACCGAACGATCCGATCGCGGTACGGTTCTTTTTTAGCAACCGAAAGTCGGCATGCACAAAGTCCCACAAAGAACCGGTATAGTTTGGGTTCCCGACATGTGCGCTGCTTCATGTCGGAAAAATAACAAAATGTCTGCGCAAATAAAGATATTTCTTTTTTCATAATTTTATTTAGAATATATTAGTTTCACAAGTCTATCCCATATATATATATATATATATATATATATATATCAATGGAGATGATTTTGTTTCATTTAACTACTTATGTTATCAGTTATTATTTTCATGTTACATCACAATTTATTGAGCAAATGCTTTGAATTGTCCTTCTCTTGAAAATTGGCGAAAACGAGCCGAGGTCAGCCTTTCACCGAGATTAAATTTCTGGAACCGCACAGCTCTGCATGAGTGGAATGAAAAGTTGAATGTGGAATGAAAGTTGAAAATCGAATGAAAAGTTGAAAGCCAATGAAAAGTCGAATCGCTTGAATGTAAAATGAAAAGTTAAATGAAAAGTTGAATACCAAATGAAAATTAAAAATATAATACCGCGAGAACTGTATAAAACACGTTTATTCCTTTAATAAAAAAAGCCGTAAAACATTAAAATTTACTTCTCTCATTAATTTAAGTATGCATTTTTCAACAATTTTTAAGTAATAAAGTGGCCTTTTGCAGCAAGCGAAAATGTTCAAAGTATTAACAAGACATTTGAATGCATAATGAACAATTAGGTTCCCAATACCATGTACAGATTCTTCGTAATGGATCGTGACTCGATGTGGATATTGTAAATGCAATGTTGATTCCCTACATGGATAGTAAAAAGACTGGATAGAAAACTTGTTAGCATAAGTGAGCTGATTGACATTGGCGACGAAGCCAAAGATTTTTACCATGTTGGATGAAATCCTTTGTCAAAATTCATCGTTACAGTCGTTACAATTGATTTACGAGCATCAGGTCTCGCCAATCAACAACATAATAACGACAGCATCAAATCCAGTCATTTTACCATTCCTAATTCATCCAAATGACCTATACCCTACATTATTCAATCTTTTCCAATGATCACTGTTCTTCCAAACAAAACAAAACAAAACAAAACGAAACAAAACAAAACACCACGTCCCACCCAATATCAACCTAGCCCATTCGATCAGAACATTGATTATTCGATCACAACATTGGTTATCGATCACGACATTGATTATTCGACCACAACATTGATCATAAAATCAAACTTTCGTATTATTCGCTTTGTCAGCTCGACGTAACATTGGCGTCGTTCCGGGAGTTGTGAACGGCTCCGTGGAATTGGAATCGCTGACATCCTCATCTTCGTCATAAATCACGTGCGCATCAAACTCCTCGTCATCATCCTTTTCCTCAATCTCCAGCGTCTTGAGTTTGAGTTTGGTCGAGATCGAAGCTTGCTTGTATATAGCGCTGGTAACTTTTATAAGGAGACAATCTTCGGTCACTTTTACAGTATAGTCAGGAATATACACGCAATTCCTGGCCAGCAATACATCTTGACAGAAGTAAGAGAATGCGCCTAAGAATAGGAAGAAATTTATATTATTTTTACAGCATATAACCTAGCGCTTTCCCTTGAGAAATAAAATCGTCTGGCGTTAGACTGGCGTTGCGTTGTATTATATTTCTTCTGTGAACGACCCAAACATTACATAGTAGCATTTTAACACTGTATATGGTGTTGCACCATACATTTATCTTTCTCAATTTTCATTATCACAAAAATAAAGGATTCACCTTGAGGGAATGTAAATTCCTCCATTCCGACAGTGACATCAACATGGCCTTGGATGACCATCAGAAAGTAGTCCACTACTTTTCCTTTCTCGTACAAGACCAATAATTCTTTGGGTGCGTCTTTTATTCGGATGTCAAGGACGACGTCTTTACGTTTTAGGATTTGCTTCAAAACATTTGCGGTTATTTTTTCTTCACTGAATGCATCGACAGCTAATATGACAAACAATTTTGAATACTAAAACTTACTGTAAAGAGTTGAATCGTTTAATCAGGTCGATACAGTATCTCAAACGTGGTGTCCAATGTAGAGATACTGTAGTATGCCAGAATAAACCGTCATTGTTTTGGAAAGAACTACCTGAAAAATCGCACTATTTCTCATTTTCAGATAAAGGGCTTTCACTATAAACTCAATAAAATTCACTTATTAATAATATTTTCAAGCAGTTCTGATGATAAACATGAACTATCTGAAGATTAAAACAATCTTGTGAGCCCCCAATCTTAAGATAAAATTTACTGTACCTGATGTAGAAGCAACCACATTGACAGATTGTTGGAAAATGAATTGGTAGATAATTATTATTGATAGATTTAAGACATTCAGTTGGAACTGTGCACCTTGAAATCAAGGAATGCTATATGTACTTATAACTTGTTCAAAAAACCTCAAAATTCTTTACCTGTTGATAAATACTGAAAGGATGCAAGTTGCAATTGTGGTGAGAGGGCTGTCTTTGTGTTTTCCTCTGTTATAAAAAGATTGAAGCTTGCCGTCAATCTTCGTTGTGGATTTGCAGTGAATGTCGTGTTGTCAACTACAACAAAATGAAGAAAAAATCTTAGTTAACAGACCACAAATAACGGCACTGAACAATTAAATATACTGTAAATTGATGAAACTGAAAGCTATCATGATCAGATGTACTGTACATCTGGAGAATGGTGCACTGGTCTAGGTGGGAACTGACAAAAATGCATGGGCAAAACTCTATCTTACTTTGCCAGGTAGAATATCAATTCATTCATACTGCTGAACATGAATCAAATATAACTCAGTAGTGAGAATATATTTTTCAAAAAACATTCATTAAAAACAAAATTAAGGATGTAAAATGTTTTTGCATTCCTAAATGGCACCAAAAGCATCCACAGTTTTTGGTTATATATAAACTTTTTGAGGGTGATATATAAGCTTTTTGAAGGTGACAAACTTATGATTACAATTGTCTGCCAGTCCAACATCTGATAATGTAGCAGAAGACCATATATGGTTTGATACATGTATGCAGTCCTCATTCCAAAAGTTTTTTGAGTTTCAGCCATATATCCAATTCTGGCAAGAACCTAAAATACATTGATTTTGGTGCATCCCCTAGTACACTTACTGGGGTTAAAATAAACAGTTTACATATGTAAAACATATGAATTTATCATGTACAGATCATATGGAGAAAAATTCTGGGTGTCTAATTCAAAAGTTGGACCCCGATTCCACAGGGAAAATGTCACCCAGCTATTTTTAACCCTGCTTACAATGAAAATGCAAACACTCATAAAAAATAACATTTACTTTTGGCTTGTCTTTAAATAAAAATAACAGCAAAAGTCTTACTGTATTTGTCTGTTTCATCTACAATTTCTGACTGAATCATTTCTTCAATGACATCTTCCAAAGTTGCCAAACCAATTGCCTCATAGAACGGATCCCCTGGTCCCTCGTTATTGACTCTCTGGACAATTGCAATGTGGGAATGTTTTTCTTTGAATGTATCTAACAGATCACCAAGGTTCGTATCATCCCAGACAAAGTTTACCGGTCGACTGTAAAATTTTATCACAGTTTGAAGTGGTATGCAATCATCTGGGTCGACAAATGCAAGGTCTTTAACGAAGAGTAGACCTACAATGTTATGCCTTTCATTGCTGTATACTGGAATACGACTGTGGCCTGACTCCATTATTGTTGTGATTGTAGCAAAATCTAAATGGCTTTCAAGATCCAGCATAAAGCATGAATCTATTTTCGTCATTATTTCTTCGACACATTTTGATTTATAGTTTAAAACTCCTGAGATGATATTCATCTCGTCACCAGCAAGGTCGTTATGTTCTGCCGTGACCTTAATCATCTCTAGCAACTGTTTTCTATTGTATATCGTGCCTAGTTCTTCCCCAAGAATGAAATCTAGAAGTTTGCTAATGGGATAGGATGCGGGCAAAGTTAGCAACATAAATAATTTTGTCATAATTAACGTCCTTGATCCGATCGCCAGACCGTGTCTCGAACAAATGCTCTGTGGAACAATCTCACCAAATATAACGATACCAGCAGTAGATGCAACTACAGCAATTAGCCCACTGCCAGCTAAAGTATCGAGCAGAATCGTTAACGAGCTGTTAACGAGAACATTACCTAAGAGAAGAGTACACAACAGGTAATTACCATGTTGACGAACCGGTAATATCTTTTTGGCATATTTCTGTTCCCTTGGGCTACCACAATTTGCCACCACTTTCAACTCTGTGGGATCCAACGCCATTAGTCCAAGATTGAGACCGGAAAACAGTCCAGACAACATCAGTAGTAATATCAGAAGGCATGCTTGCAACCATATGGGGAGTGCTCCTTTTGAAACCACTTTGATGGTTACTAAATTACCAGTGCCCGCATGGTACCATTTATCATTTATACCACCTCTCAGACATACATAATACTTGCCGATGTTACTGAATGACACTTTTGTTTCAAATATTTGGGATTCACTCTTTGACAAAACATGGTTTTTGCTTCGATCAAATGAATCACAAGGGTCTCCTCTTTCCGCGCCAGTTTCAGTAAAAACAATCGATGTGTCATGAGATAGGTTTAAACCAATAAAATACAATTGGGTACTTGTCTCGGTAGATAACTCAACAACACCATTAGAGATCTTTGTGTTCAAATCCGTTTCGCTTGGATAAATTGCGACCAAATGAGACTTAAATTGAGAGCAATTTACATGGTGAATACAAAAGATAATAATAAAGAACAAAAATATAAAATATCTTTGAAAAAACTGAAGTAAAGCACTTGTTTTGGCCATTAAAATAAACATGCAAATCTGCCTTTCACGTGACATTTGTGGGGAACTGGTGCTAACACTGATCGCAAAATTACTGGACCAAACGGCATGAATGCGAAAAAATAAATAGAAAACAAAATTGAAATTTTGGATTTATTTTTCTGTATTTAAAGTTTAAAACGTATTAGTATTCTTATCATTATTAGAGAAATTCAAATTTTGATACAGCAAGAAAAAATACATATTAAAGAGCTTTCAAGTGTCTCGAGTGTGACAGATTTCTAATCACTTGATAATAAGAATAATGGGGATGACCAAAAGATGAATATTTTCGGGGCGAGTGGTAACAGAGGAGTGGTAATGTAATATAAAACTTTGCCAGAATGCAAAATTTAATATACGCAAAATTTATATACTTGCGTATTCCAGTTATATACTTTATTTCAGAGATCAGTGTTGATTACGAAATTGGACTTTGAACTTTGCAATTTTTGTTTGTCTCCAGTCTTCCTCGCTTTTTACTTCCTTTCGAGCGTGTTGACTTTTTTACATCATATTTTTGGTGTTTTTTTTCGCGTTTTTCATGTATTTTTATCATTAATATTCACGTTTTGTGCTCTATGGAGTCAGGATGTCTTCGACATGTCCATATATTCTGGTAAAGACCTCGCAGTTGTTCACTGCCGCGCGAATTACGAGCCAAAACGAGAGCTTCAAAGAGGGTCTGTCATCGAACAAGATCGTTCAGAAACTTTCTCAACTTAGCACCAACTTAAAAACGTTAAAAATTGAAACCGGCGGTTATTTCAAACCACCAAGGTTGAGTTTAGAAGAACTGTCGACGATTGCGAGCAATATTTGCGTTCAAATCAAAGATCAGAAGTTGTTAAATTTGCACACAGAGGGAAGCGAACACGAGACTTTTTATATTGCTGACAATGATATTGATGAGAATGTTGGCTATGAGGAGAGTCACATGCACATTGCATGTAATGAACATTTAAGTGTGAAAAATAAGGGTGTTTTGGTTGAGAAAACAGAAAAATATTTTGCACAGTATGGTATCTCAGAGGATGAACTGCATAGGTAAGCAAGGGTATGCTTGTGACAGGGTCACAGGCCAGCTGAATATGGTAGCATCCATCCATATGATCAAATTCACTTTTCCAAGCAGGTCGGTGCACTGTCGTAAACATGCTGCGCTGTATCTACGATGATTTATAGCAGTGCAGTTGAACTCTTATTAATGCACTTAAATTAGGGATGTTTTGAATGTCTGCTAAGATGTGTCTGTTGGATGGAAGTGGTTAACGGCATGTTAAGGCCCATCTACATGATAATCGTATACAATTCTTATCCTGGTGTATGTATTCAAATAAATGCATGTAAAGATGTCACATTTCAAACTTCGTCATCAACTGATGAACAGGAGTAGTGGTGTCAACAGTCGTTTCCATATGCCAGAATGACAATCATATGCGAGTAGTCGTGTTGTGTAAATGGGCCTTCACACGAGGGAATTTCTGACATGGAGCCAATGTTATCTAAAGTAGTTGCAGGAAAATTACGAGCATGGTCCACAGTTTATTTCTTTCATTTTTCATTCCTTAATTAAGAGTATGTTTCTTAAAGAAAGAATGTGAGCCATGCTCTTTGCGGCAAAAATTTGCTCATGCAACATAGCCTTTATCCAGATGAGATTTTTGTTAGGTTGTATGTTTTCGGAAATGACAACTGCATAGAGTTTAGAAGATCCTGCATACATGTCATGTTGTTTTGTAGCTGTGTAAAGGAAATAAAAAATATGAAAAAGAAGCAATGGTTGCTGGAGCAAAATGAACACAAGACAGAACAAGGATGGGTGAAGTTTCTACAACAGAAAGATTTGCTTGTCTGGAGAAGACCTTTGAATGAAAATGGCTTACACCAGTATAAAGGTATAATGTCAAATGAAAAAGGATTGCTAGGGATGCAAGTATGCAACTACCTGAAAAATACAAGGGGAACTTTGATATTTCAAGCGGCAAGCGAAGGCCCTTCGTCGGGAAGTTACAAGCAAGGGTTGGGAAAATTACATGAGCTTTTATACGAGTGCATGTAAAAGCGATAACGTTGTTTAAAACTGCTCAGCTAACCTAAATTTGCTTTAATTTCATAGTGTTTGGCACATTTTTTGACATTTCATCAGAAGCTTTTTTCAACTCTCAAGTAAGTGTATTAATTTCGTACCCAAAAAAGCATTTTCGTACCCAAAAAAGCATATTGAAAAACTGACTTGTTAATTAAGCAGTATGCCCTAACCCCCCCCCCCCCCGGATTTTTCTTCTCCGACACCCGACTATTTTGCACTTCAAGGAGTGTTCATCAGTTTTAAGTGCTGTTGCTGTTTCCCTTCAGAGTTCATCTGTAAATAGTTTTGTCTCCATATATTTGATATATGTTATTGCTATGATTTCAGATTGATCTGCAGTACAGAAAATGCTGGGATAAATATGCAGTCTCTTTGGATATCATCGACAAATCTTCAAAATGCGGCAGCGAGGTTGTTCACTGGGTGACAAAATTTCCAGTGAGTGATATAATTTAAACTTTACAAAATACCACAATGTAACATTCTAAGTGTTGTACCTTTGTAAGCGCTCCCCCCTCCTATTAGAACTTTTTTGAAATTTTTACAATGTATTTTGTAGTATCCGTTGAAGAGCCGGGATTACGTTTTTGTTCGAAGGTCTAAGGTATTAAACTGCTTTGGCGGAACCGATTTACCTTGCATATTAATTTGCTATAAAATTGTTTGTTAAAACAAAAACGTTTCTTTTTTTTTACCAGATTGATACTGCATCAAACACCATGGTTCTGGTTTCAAGGCATGTGTTTTATTGACGAATAAACAATTTTATGAATAAACTCTAAATTTAAGATGAATAAACATCTTCACTCACTCTACAAACTAGAGATTAACATGTCATCCATAACTTCAAAATAGCTTGCTCTTTTGTACTGTATGATAAAAAATAAATGCGATAAATAGTTGTGCATTGGTTAGAAAGATGGCAATCCGAGAAAGACCCAGTGAGCAACTGGGCTGACGAATACACCCTTCCGGAAAGTATGTCACTATAGAGCCTCGTTTTCATGTATGTGGACATTAGTTTAGGCCTAATGTCTCAATCGCGAAAACGAGGCTCTATAGCCAAGGTGACATACTTTCTGGGAGGGTGTATTGTTGATATGATCAGCTAGTAGGTGATGGATGTAAAAATTGATGATTATCAGCATCTCCTGAAAGGTTCCCCAATAACTAGACTGTTAGTGCTTGACATTTCACTTTTTTGTTTAGAGCCTCGAGCCACGAAAATTGTCCAGAAAGTGAAGAATATATTCGTGTCAAAGATTACGAATCTCAAATGGTTGTTAAACCTCACAAAACCTTTCGAGAGGTAAACAAAATGTTCTTGACTACGGCTGGGCTTGCTAAATAATCATAATTCGTATAAAATTATTTTCTAAAGTTGTTTTACATGGGTAAATCAGGACGGTGTAAGCTTGAATAGAATTGCCGCAACTATAAACGCACCACGATATACCTGCTGTAATTTCGGCTGTACACTGCAGTAGTTGATATCGCTTTCTTTTCAGAATGGCTTTGACTATGTGTTGACCTACCATGATGATTCACGAGTGAATGTTCCGAAATTTTGCGTGAATATGATCACTGGTTCAGGTATGGTTACTACCTGATACACCTATGCTGATTACCAGATACACCTACTATATTATAACATACCTGTCATTAGTTGTGTCTGAATTACCTGAAAAATTTAAAACACTTCGGAAAGGACTTTTTCATCAGGAGGGAACTAACGTTACCTCCTGGCGACGAGTTTTTGCTCAAAATGTAGTCGTTGTGGTTTTAATATTTTCAGCTAGTTCATACACAAACCACGGTAATCCTACAGTGGACTTCCACGTTTGAGACACCATAACAAACTGCTGTTCTACCAATGCTAGGTTACACCATGGGATCATAAAAATACTTCTAACTATCCATGGTTACACATAGACCCCCTAGTATAAAGTAGATGTGACCCCCACTCGAGTTATGTCTTAGTGAGTACAAAGTTTAATTAACTGGGGGAAAATTATGTGAATTGAAAATTCCTCATTACGAAGCATTTTGAAGAATATCATCTTTGAATTTTCAGCTGTTCCTGATTTCGTGAAGACTCTTCATGACGCGGCTGCCAACATGAACAAATAGAAATGATATTTTAAAGATACTGCTACAAAAGTTGAATATCATTGTAGAGTGTTTTTTCAGCAGAATAAATATTTTTCAACTATACAATCATGTTGTTTTGCTTTTATGCCCATTTACGCAAATTGCATAAGAACTGTGGTATACTGTACATCACGTGGCAATGGGTAGGTTTCACCGAGGACTGTCTTGTAGTTCTCCGAGTGAGAAATTGTATTGGTTACTAATTGGGTGTCCTATAAATGGAATTGAATATGCTTTACTTTAATTGCGCTAAAAAGTATCATGAATTCCGAAGTTTACCGCGATCTATTGCCCTTCTAACACAACCTCATACCCAGGCCTCTATATAGGAGTTGCGCTGAGCGTGCGCCTAAGCTTAGCCACTGATCTGTTACTTCCTCTTGCGCGATTTCTGTTAAGCGCCTGATTATGAGACTGCTTGTAATGCGTACTGAATTTGACCAATAGAACGGCGAGAGCGGTTTTTTGCTTGAATCACCAACGTGAAGCTGCATGGATTGCAATCTCGTTCCCAGAGTTTGCCTGTTCGCGGGTTATGTACACTACATAACCCGCGAACAGGCATACTCTGGGAAAGAGATTGCATGGATTGCTGTTCTCGATTTTAAGCAAAAATCTTTCACTTCTCTCTACGACTTCTCTAAACAAGAAACCTGTCTCGTAGCGAGTTGTGGTTGTTCAAATCGTCCACTCCTAAGATTTTGGGACTGATACTGGAGATCAGAACGTACAAAACGAACATAAGTCCGCTATGAAGTCCCACCAAAACTTTAAAACTATTACATTAAATATCGACCATCAATTGATAGCAAATTTAAAACTTGTATTGAACCAATCACCTGTATTGAAGTTCGCGGCCTTATTAAAAAAAGAACTTTAAAGCTCGTCACATGACAAATATGATCCAATCATAATTATTAAACAATAACAAAATCAAAACATAGAAACGATTCACTTGCATTATTCAGCTCAAATGTTGAGATCAGTGGTTTCAGCACGTGGCTTGATGGCACGTGGCTCAAATCAACCGTGACGTGAACGGATTTTAAATGTTTGCTAATCCCAATTTCTGAATGAAACGCGAAGAATAAATAGGTTGATTAACAAATTTTATTCTACGAGAAATAGCCATTTGGGGGATATATTGGACTTTACCTGGACTTTAAATGACAAGAGGTCTTTGATGGAAAAAAAATCGGCAGTTTTAAAAAAAATTGATGGTATTTTAATGTCTGCGTTACCATAGAGATATAATAACATATTTTCTTTTGCGGTGGGTTCTCATTAGGCCGAAACACAAATAAGTCAAAGAGCCAACATTTCTGGCAAAGCCAATGACAAATAGAATAATTAATATGCTAGCTCAGCTCAAAACAGTTATATCTGATCTCCACTGGTTTGGTTTGAGAGAATTGACCATAAAAAGTGGGAAGTCGGTGGAACAATGGTTATTGCATATGCCTTTAGCTTCTGCATTTCTGATAAATTTCGCCATATAGTCGCAAATGAGAAGAGTGTTAGTTTGACCAAAAAACATCACAAGTTTTCTTTTCCCTGCAGTGAATTTGGATTCTGCAGACCTACAATAGATGCCCCTTACTGGACCTCCAGGGAGAACGATTTAGAACGGATAGAGCTATTCTGGTCAGTATAAATAAAGTTAGTTTCTAGTTATTTTACACAAGACCATGTATGTAGACAACTACCCCTTAGAATTTTTATGGTAACATTAACTTTTATGGCTAATATTGCATATTATGTAAGGCTGAAAAGTAAAATGCTTGCTTCAAGTGACAGCTATTTGCTTGGCCTTAGTTTATATTTTCTCATACTCAACAATATTACAGTATTGTTAAAAAGTGATGCAAGAGTGACTGAGTTAATCAAACGAAGAAAGTTATATTGTTCTTCAAGTGACCATGCCGTCACTCGGAAGTCATGCTGAGCGGCAATTTAAAAATAATGGTGTTCCCACGGAGTTTCATACACGCTTACACGAGGCAGACCGTTAGAAGGGATTTAAAATGCACGTCGTTTAAGTAAGCCTTTTAAATTGTGACCAGTCAGTTGCACACTGTCAGAGCTACGAGTTAGACGCCAGTGGCTATTGGGTAAATTGAAGACAGTCTATACTGTACATCAGAAATTTATTTCATTTCGTTAATTCAACAAATTGGAACATACTAGGTGGCGAAGAGAATATAAACAAAACCTGGTTTTGGCAAGATTGAAGTTGAGAGAAGCAACGAGGTAACTTAATTAAAGGAATGTGATTTTGCGAATACTTGCGTAGACGTTGGTTTGCGAAAGTGATTATTTAATACGGAATTGTATATTGTTTTAATGCCTAGCGGATTAGTGTATTTGTTCTGTATTTGAGTAATCAGCAAATGATAAATAGTTTGCTGAAAGGCTGAAATATTATCACGAAAGGTCGTAGTTAAAACGGGAGTAGAACTTTAGACTGCTATTTAGTATTGGGACTCACAGGACACAGATGAAAGAGTTAATAAATCACATATAGCAACAATAATAGCGACAAGGAATCTTAATTGTTTATCATTTGCATAGAACTGTATCATTTACTCTCTTTATAGAAGAGTATCAACACTGAAGTTATTATTGAAAGTTAACGTGGACGCGTTGTGAAAGGTACGATACAGATTTTGTAAACTTGAGTGAAAATATAGCATGGGAATTGTTGAAACTGCTCCTAACAAAAGGTCCAATATGGATTTAAAACTGCACTATAAATCAGCGGAACCATTCAAGGATAAGAATTTTTAAAGAATCATTAACATTGCATAAACTTAAAAGACTTGGTCAAAACTAAACAATATATATCTGATTATCTGAAACGTGCAGTGTTATATATAAACTTTGTTTGGCGAAGAAAGATTTCAAATAGTCTACATATAATAATATATCAAGTTGGCTAGTTGGGTTAAAGGTATACTGCTGATTAAGGGACATAGTAACGAACAACAGCAATTTTTATTTATCCTTATATTTATAGAGATTTTGATCAGTTGAATGGAGGTGCTAACCGACTCGAACTCTGCCTTCTCGCATCGTCGAAAATTTAAGGTGATAAAGTACGATTCCCCGGCATTCAGAGATCAGCCAGGTTCCGAAACTAAAGTAAAACGAACATTTCGCGAACAATACAAGCAGTGTCCTAAGCTCACCAATGTCTCACTGCCTGAGGATGATGTAGTTTCATTTACAGCGAATGAAATGGTCAACGCCTGCTATGCTAAGATATGGCGAGGTTCTGGTGCTAAACCGCCGAATATTTGCGGTGAAGAACCGGGCATTGAAGAAGACAGTGAAATGCAGAAAGCTTTTCCAATCTATTTGAAAAAAGATTTGGATAAATTACAAAAATTGAGGCTCAAGTCTCGATTTAAATCACGGAAATGCTTGGACAATAACGAGGTCAAAGCTTGGATCGAGGCTCCAGAGAAATTCATTGATATTCTCACGGAGTTACGAGAAGAGGAGAATAAGGAGAATATTGAAAATGTGAAAGGTATTGATGAATCAAGGAACGATGTGGATGGATTGGGATCAACCTCGGCAGCAGACGAACAAATTAAGCGACCCAGTCAAGCAGTACATTTTCCACAACATGTCTTACTATGTGCCGCTCTACAGGAGGGAGACTCGAATGAAATTGAAGAAGTTATCAAGAATAACAATATCGATCTCAGTTCTCTGAGCCAAGCTACAAGCTATTACTATCTTCACAAGACAATACTCAACGATCAGCTGCATTGCGCTAGAATGCTTATACAGAACGGTGTTAATGTCAATGCTAAAGACAGCGAGGGCGTTTCGCCGCTAGCATTGGCATTTCGATTAATGAACTTTCCCATGGTTGCCCTCCTAGTGCACTCTGGGGCAGATGTGGGGGAGTATACGGACTCAAGAATTCAAGAAATGAACAAAGTCAAAGAACTGTCATGTTCTGTTTCCAAGGTATTTGAAATGGATGTATAAGGAAGTAAAAGTACTAAACGTAAATTGATAAGGGAACTGTCACCTCCCCCCCCCCCCCTTCTCCTCACAAGCATATACAAAATGTGTAAAAAAACTAATGTATTGATATTTGTAAAACTCATCAATAGTTAATGAAGAAATTTAAAAAAAAAATCAATGTTTATTGAGGTGTGATCCCCGCATATACAAAATTCTCCTGATTTGCAATGATAGCGTAAAAGTGATTAACAATTTAAAATTATTCATTATTAATTTTGGATTGTGCCTTACATTATTGTGCATAGCTAATTTTCTACTTCCACACATAAAAATACGTAAAATCATACCAACTGAACTAATCTGACGGCAGTGCTTCCACTTTAAATTCCACCTTTCTCATCATGCCAAGATAGGAATCTTTTTGATCTTGTTTGGAACTTTTAGCGGTCCAGTGTACTTGAGATCAGTATCAAATGAAAAGAAGTTCTAAAAGAATACAAAAGATTAGGATTAGATTGAAATAGATTTCCTGAAAGCCGTTTTCAATGCACCCCTTCGATAATTACGCCACACATACTTTTTGGTCTTGGAGCCTCGCTCTCATTAGTATATTACGCAAGGTGATTGGCTCACGATTCATGAGAGCGAGGCTCCCAGGCCAAATGACGTAATTATGGAAATGGTGTATTACAGTCACAACCAAACCAATTTGAACATCCGTTGGTGGTGTCTAACGTAACAGTAATCATGATTCTGAGCATCTCACTTGATAGATTTAAATCTCGAAAAGGCTTTCGTGGATGGAATTTTTCAGTGTAAATTATATAAAAATTTTTTTAGACCTACCCAAGAGGAGTTGCGAAAAATGCAACTTCATGCCCTCTGGAAGAAATCGCCGGAACCTGCGGCTCTGCAATTCCGGTGCAGCGCTTTAACCAACTGAGCTACAGACGCCAGTTCCAATTTTGCCAATTCTGCAGCTTGCAGCGCAATTTATGACACAGAGCATGCACATTATGTAGAAATGTGCTCACTGAAAATGTTACTGTCGTTCCAATTGAAGTGCTGCTCAAATATTGATTCAATACATTACCTCGGGCTGACCAATTCATTTGATCAAGTTCCTCGAGATATTCATACACTTCCTGTGAAAGAGCCAATTCCAAGTATTTGATCATTTCTGGTCACTTCCTTTCTATTTATGATTGGTTAGTTGCACAAACAACAAAGGTGATTGGTGCATTCAAACTATTCAATAGGAAGTTTACAATTATACTAGGAAGTGTATGAATATCTCGAGGAACTTGATCAAATGAATTGGTCAGCCCGAGGTAATGTATTGAATCAATATTTGAGCAACACTTCAATTGGAACGACAGTAAGCATGGCCCAGGTTTACTTTGCCGATATTTTTCAGTACCATTGACATCTTCACATCTCCTGGCCATGTTATGTAAAGAGTAGATCAGCGTAGTAAGACCTAAGTTAAGCTCACAATTAATCTTTCATAATATGTTTTAAAAAATAACATTGTGTTGCAAGCTGCAAAAAAATTGTCTTTTTTTCCACATCGAGTATAGTACAGGTCAACGGTTGAGCCTTACCTTCCCAAAATAGATATCCGCATCTTCCAACTGTACATTGTCTAGAACTGGAAGTGGTATGCCTTTTTTGCCTTTCTCTATTAGGGAAATAACAATTTCATGTGGTGAGCCTTGGAATACAAATATTTACTTTTCTATTTCGTAACTGGGGCTGGGGGAAATGATTAGGGATAGGGTTGTGGTCAAGATCAAAGAAAAATGCATTCGTAAAACTTACCGTTGAGCTCTTTTATGATTGTGTTCTCAGCTAGGACGTGAAGCAGTATATTCATAAGTCCAATATTAGGCTGAAATCATGACATAAAATAATACTATTACACACAATGAACATTAATTGTGCATTTTATGATAGCTGTATGTCCCACAATAATTAAAGGGTTTATTTCAATTTAATAAGCGCCCTGTATTAGATTGGGAATGTTTATCATTGAGAGTGTGCTTATAATTTAACTATTTACGGTATTTAGAATCTTTATCCAGAGGTGGTTGATATCTTACCTTTATGTCACCAACAGCTGATTTCAAAACAGCAAAAGTAACGCTACAATACAAATAAAACATGAGATCTTTTTGTCGTCGTTGTTGCTGTTGTTGTTGTTGTTGTTGTTTTCGTTGTCGTTATTGTCGTTGTTGTTGCTTTCGTTGTCGTTGCGTGGTTCTTGATGGTCGTTGCAAAATGTAATTGTTTTGGGTTCTTCGCTGGTTGTTCATTGGTTGTTCGCTGATTGATTGCAAGTTGTTGGCCGGTTGTTCGTTGGTTGTTGCTGTGGTAATATTATTTGGCACTCACGAAAATTTCGAAACAGATCCTTGCAAGATTGTACCATTGACACGTGCTGCGCCACTGCCAGTTAGGTCCTAAAAAGTAAAAAATATCTCACTGTAATATTGCAGATGATCGCGACTGTATTAAGTCATTTCGGTATACGCTGGGTCAGGGGCTACACTATCAAACACTTGGTACCCTCTGATCAAACAATGGCTGACCTCATACTTTGGGCCAATAAAAGATTTCGTGGGCCAAAGCGACCACTTTCTACGACCTCAACTCATAACAGCAGCAAGTTAACTTATTTAAAAGCTTACTTTAAGTTTAATTCAGTGTTGACCTCTATGTAAAAGAACTGCTTACCGCAACCAAGGAGAACAAAAAGACGAGTTTGTTTTCTTTCGTAAAAACATAGACCTCAACATTGCCAGTGATTGCGAAGTTTATTCCTGTGGGCTGCGTGTTCATACTCGGAGGTTTGGTACAATACAAATGTAGGAAGAGTGGGCGGTCAGGATATTCAGCATATACCTGAGAATACAGAAGGTAAAGACGTGAAACGGTTTGCTCAGTGGACTCTGCTCAAGGTAAAACACTTTTCCACACCATTCAACTTTTTTTTACTTACTTTAGACAAGCCGAGCAGTTTCAATAAGTTCGTATTAAGCTGGTACTTGAACGATGGAGGTACCTTAAATAACACAGTTTACCTTTGAGTATACTAAAACATATAAATGACAAACTCTGCACAAAAGCAAGACTGTTCAGGCAAAAAACATTTCAGGGCAATGGTAATTATAAGCATGTGACAGGATATTAACCAACAATTAATTCATACCTGCGAGGCATTCACAGTCGCATTAAAGAAATTTTCCTTATAGTACACCTGGCCAGCAGTGTTGAGGACGTAGTCAGTGATGTATAAACATATCATTTTAGTACAGGTTTGATTCGCGGGGATGACAGGAGGTGTTAGGCCTGATTCTGTCGGATGAGTTGCTGACATTAACTCTCCCTGGAAGAGAAAAAGAATAATTTTCCATTTTTCATTAACTGCATGTACTAATTCATGCCATGCGTTTATTGTTCTGTTTTACTAGGCCGGGAGAAAATCGTAGTACCCACAATCGTGGGGAAACTATTAATAAACCAGACAGAAATTTTAGGATTCGACTAACTTCAATTCTCCCCCATAAAATGTTGTAATTATTTTCCCCACACTTTAAATGCAATTTGGCAACATAAGGGGAAGGAGGATATTCTACGTAGATACGATACAGAAATGATACTACCATCATTAAAATCTCACACAGGCAACTTTGCATTTCATTAACAAGTTTTTCCACCACGATTGCAGAAAAAGCTGGCGGTGAATTGATAGAGCCAAACTGGAAGCACTGTTCTCACATTCGAATGCACGCAACATTACACTAAAAAACGCCTTGTGTTGGAATCGAACACCCACATAAATAAACATCTGAACCTGGAACACAAAAGCTTCGTATATATTTATAATGTGACCAACCTTTAGTCTAACGTCCATATAGTTTTCCTCAAACAGGGGAGGTTCAATGAACGAATAATCAATTAGAGCATATTTGTCAAGCTTTTTGCGAACTGAAAGATAAGAATTACTTATGCTGTTAGGTTTGCATGCATGACGATAAAAAAAAATTATAATATTTTCATTGATGAAGATCTGGGCTTACGGATCGTTGCCAAATAAATAAACATGGTCAAGGCACTTAGAGCTATGAATTTACTGATTAGAAGACATCCAATACGACCATTATATAGAACCTGCATGCATGCAAATATCATTATCAGAATTTTACTATACACATGACAAAGAACGTCACAGAAATGTTGATGTACCAGGAAATGTTGCCAATTCTTTCTCAGCGTCCTCGTTGATTGCTTTAGTTGCTTCTTCACAGATCTACATTAATTTGGTCAAAATATTTGTTAGAAATTTTCAAGATCAAAAAAATCTCGACACCCCTCGGGTTCTGTAAAGGCCATTCTTTGGTTAAGTGTCACTAAAAGAGGGAATCCAGGGAACAGAAATGCAAGACACATCTGTGACTCATCATCACTGTGCAAGCGACACCCAAATCCAGATAGTGATTACTGATTAAGCTAGAAACATCTAGAGCAAATTCAAAACTTACAAGATTATTGAGTTGAGATTTTATGGAATCGGCAATCTTGCTTCGAAATAAGTTGTACAGCCAGCTAAGGAAAATAAAATAACCAATAATTATCTGAAACATACATGTGATGAAAACCTAGTGGCATCTTTTCAACCTGGACTTCTATAAAACAACCAGGGTACTTCAAAACAATCAGGGTACTTCGTACTTTACCTTGCCCCGCCATGAAACTTTATATTTAAATCACCAACGTTATCGGAGCAGGACGCAGTCGTGATTGACGGTCTACCTTTTTCTGTTCCTGTAAATTAAAAAAAATGCTTAAGTTTAATCTGGGTTGCGCATATCAACGAACTATTAGTTCTACGTACCAATCTTTGCGGTCAAGCTGAACGAGATGTCACTGGCAGACATGTCAAAAGTACCACTGTCGCTTACGTGTGGCCTGGAAAACACAAATATACTGTGTAGATGTATATGTAAGAAGACACAACGTAATAATTACTTAGGAATTGTTGAAAAAATGTCCAGGAACCTTGGCGATAGCATCATGCGTCTATTGGCAAATAATAATTGAAACGAGTGCACACAGGACTATCCACTCTCTCCCATAATCAACCCATACTATGCACGCGTGCTTCGGCCGTATCCCTTGGTTTTTGCCTTCTTCAACCTCTTAACCGTCGGTTACACCACAGAGATCCCCCCGACTATGGCTTTTTATACCAAGGCATTATAAAAGAGCGCTCAGATAGTTGATTGCTATAAATATGGGATGAATACATATTGCGAGATAACACGACGAGAAAGCATGCGAGGGGGGAAACCGCGTATTATTGTCCAGAATTATAGTGGACAATAAAGAATGACGTATACCAATGAGTTTTCCTGTAGTGCCAGTTTCCAGTGAACGCAACATAAACACCTGACGCCGAGAGATCGAGACCAACACCCGGCACAGTCTTGAAGGAAGATTTGGCAATGGAAGCACCCGTATTATGGAGGCTGAAAATACAGAGAAATATACATTAAAATTAAAACCTTCGTTGTTAAGATGAGGAAAGAGGGGACAACTTCACACCCCACCTCAACTCATCCCCACCCCACCTCACCACCACCCCACCTCACCTCACCACCACCCCACCACACCCCTATAGCGACGGCCCTGATTTTGGTGTCGTTTATATGATGTCACAAATAATGTAGGAAGGTCTTACTTCGTGAGATCATATTCAAAATCTCCTAGAGGTGTACTTGTCTCTCCAGAATAATCTTTGATGGTCGTGGTTTTCAGCTTGTTAACCAACACTTGAATAGCGACGCTGTCGACTAAAGAAACGGAAATATGTTTCACTTCGCGGAAATCTCGCCCAGTTGGGGGAAGTGAGGTTTTTGGAGGAAATACCAGGTACCAATTGAAAAAGAGAAGAAACACTCCATTATTTTCCTGATTATTTTCAAGAAACACTCCATTATTTTCCTGATCGTGGAGGGCCTAAATCCCTCTCTCTTCCTGTTTCGCTTGAATTGTCCCCCCAAGAAGAAAACGAACTTTGAGGAAGTCTAATATACACCGTAAAGCTTCCTTCATACTTTCGTAAGGAAAATTTAACACCGGAACACAAATTGCAATTGTTGACACAAACTCGAAAGTCTAGTCATGCGTGTTTCCCGGTAACCCTTGCTTTGTTCCTTCAGAAGTTCCTTCATTTTGCTATTTGTTTTGTTATAAAAAACATACAGTCTAAAATTAGAACCAACTTCCTTTTAATTGTCCATTATTGAAGCGAACAAAATTAATTGCTACAAAAGCAGTTCTAATTATCATTAATCACGCTACATTCAAATCAGGCCTTTTTAAATCCAAAAATCCTGGTATTGACCCATGCACCTAACATTGGCGTCATCTTAGTATATAAACATGAACTTGTGGTTAGAGCTCGACAACTGGACTCTGTAGCTCAGTTGGTTACAGCCAGATGGCATATACTGTTGCATTTTTCACAACTGCACCTGGTTACGTCTAATAAATGTATAAAATTCACACTCGAAACTTGCAACTAAAAAACCTTTCTACAATGTGTTCTTGCGAGTGAGATGCCTACAGATACAAATTCAGAGATCAATAGACAATATAACTTGGACATGAACTTAGCAGCATACTGAACTGTCAGAAATTGACATATGCCATGTTCGTAGACACATGTTTCACTGACCGAAAACGTATATCATTTTCGCTCGACTTCCTCCTAGTAACCATTTTTATGCACCAAAGAGAAATGTGCACGGCTGAGTGGATCGATGAAACAACATAGAATATTTAAACTTTAACTGATAATGCATTCGTATTATAGTGTGTGTCTAGAAAAATGCTGTTTAGATTTACAGCAGCCGTGTTTTAAATCTTATTGAATATCAAGTGTGGGAAAAATATGGAGACTGCCTGTGACTGTCAAACAGGCTTCAAAATTAATTTCATTTCCCTGTGTAATTCAAGCATTTGTTCAGTTTAATACCGACGGTTGACAATGTCAATTCTCCAAATCGGCAAATGATAAATATTGGTCGATGTTCAACATGGGTATAGCAGTCTGTGCCTGTGCCGTAGTTCCGCGTATTTGAATTATTGCTAAGCTAGCTATATTTTTCTCTTCTGCAGGTTCCGACTTCAAAAACCTACCACAAAATATCTAAATATCAAACAAAGTTCTAGCTCTGAACTACGTCAACTAATTCTGACATACTAGAAATATTTCACTCGGTAGTTCATAGACATAGCGTATATTCATTTTAAAGCTGGACTTCCTGTGATTACTGCAGCATTAGTAATATAATTATACATAAAATATCCTAGACCAAGTGCTGCTGAATACAGTAAAACAATATTTTGGATAACAACATAAAAGTTACACAAAATACGAACGGATCAATAACATTAAACTTTGAAGCACCTTTTGAAGGAAAATTGTCACTGACAATGACAATGCACACTATTATGAAATCATGCTTTGACCAAACAAAATTAAATAGAGCAAACCAACTTATACAGTGTATTATTATACGTGTATATATACAATATATTAGATTAAATAATCCTCTATAAAGCTGTACAAGCTACAAGTTAAAACCTAAGTAACGAGTAGCTTAGTTGTCTCACATAAGTCTGTTCATGCTTCAACCACATACCAAGTTCATACGCAATATTATTAACTCTGCAGATTATTAACTTACCATATGCTAACCCCTGGTTATTGACTCGTATTACAATGCCAGGATTAGTACCAACAGCGGACAATATCGAGGTTAAAACCAAAAGCAAAGTTAAAATAATATTCTCCATTCTGCAGTACGAGGAAGTACTATACACACGAAGTTCACATGTCATTTAAACTTCAGACTTGGATTTGTTTGTTGTATACCCACTTTGGCAAATTCATTTGCAAGTATAAATATATGATGACCTAAACTAACTTTTCTATTGGTCGAGCCAGAGCATGTTACAAACATGTATTGAAAGCATGGACTCATGAAAAATATGGATTTATAGTTGGATAAAATGGAGTGGTGGACACGCATGTAGTTAAAGTTTCCTTATTCCAAAGAACTCAACAAGTTGTTTAGTCAGTTCTTGAACAATTTTCCTACATCGTTCTTGTTTTGGGGATGAAGTTTTCTTCAACAGTTCTCAGTTTAAGACATCATGTTTTGCACTTAAAATATCAACCCTGTATATCTGTTTTCGGTAAGTTGTAATTTCATAGCAACATGCTGTTTTAAGAGGATCGAGGTCGAGGTTGTTTACCATTTACACAAATTAAGATCTGGGTAATTTTGGATAGAAAGTGAAAGGAACACCATGCATATTTGGCAGGCCCAACTGGAAAAATACCGGTTTTGTCCTTTTCTTTTGCTTCCCGATTATCACGATCAGAACAGCCAGATCGATCCAACCGTAAATGAGTCATGCGTTATAACTTGAAATCGGTCAGACAGAAAAAATTGGATCCAATGTGAGGGACCGGTCATTAATTACAGGGGAGCTGGTGGAAATGAAAAAAATTAGATGTTAAAATTTTGTTGCCCCCCCCCCC